TCCGGGGGAATACCAAGGCATTCCCAGGCCAGCCGAGAGATATAATCTCTCCAGCGTGTCCTGGGTCTGCCCCGGGGCCTCCTCCCGGTGGGATACAGATACAGATTTCCCCCTTCTTGTATTTTTTTTCCCTTTTTTATATATATAATAGTGAAACTAATGAATCAACTCTTCTGAGACATAGCAGTTCAGAGTAGTAGTGATCCAGTTTATCTGTAAAAAGACTGTATATTTCTTAAGTTCTACCCAAGCCTGAGGCAAACATGCACAAAACCACAAGAGGAGTCTGATGGTGAAGTAAAGAGAAACACACCTGCTGTGCACGCAACTTTCATCTTCAGACACTAGATGGCAGCACTGTAATACTTTAATCACACCAGGACACGTGTCACCCTGTCGTCCACATCAGTCAGCCACTCATCAAGAGGATTATTAGTTATCATCCATTATCAAAAGAGATACGTTTGGATTAGTGCACATAATCCTTAAATTGTAATCCAGATTATCTCCTGGTAGTTTAATCAATTTTGCAGCGAGGTGTTGTTTGTTGCAAAGTACTTTTTGAGAAGAGTACTATTTATGAGCGTGCAAAGTGCTGGGAACAGTTAGTTGTACTGATATAAAAAAGTTTATATGAGTACATTTTGTGGTTTGTACCAAAAAAACGGCAAATGACTTTATGTGTAGTCATCATCTTATGATGAGGGTTTTGAAACCAGACCTCGTCCAGTCCAATACAACAAAATGAAACTTTAATGCAGTGACAAATCATGTTTGGCCTTTGCAGAATGAACACAATATTAGAAAAATCAATAATGTAGAACATTATAAATGCCATATAAGCAGGTGTGATCATTATACCAGAAAAGGTGTTTGATGTTTCCTGTTTTTTTGTGAGAGACTTATATTATTTCATTTTAAAACGTTTGTGTTTGCTTCAGCTTTGCAAATCAAAGTTTCTCTTGTTTTTTTCTGTTTCAGGATTTTCAAGCGCTCACTGTGTGGCAGAAAGTCCAGTTATTTTACCATGGGATTTTGGAAAAAGGAGGCATGTAAATTAATTTACCCATTTTTTTTTCTTAGAGATTAGCAGTTTATTTTTTTCTAAAGGTCTTTCTGCTTTTCTCTCACCTTCTTGTCATTTAGACAAAAGGACAGACAACTGGCTTCTGGTCTATTCTCCTGTGCCAATTAGCTGTGTCTTCCTGTGTTACTTGATCACTATATGGGTGGGGCCAAAGCTAATGGCAAGGAGGCAGCCAGTCAACCTCAGACCTGTCTTGATAGTTTACAACTTTGCCATGGTCTGCCTGTCTGCCTACATGTTCTATGAGGTAAATACCATACTGCTTGAAGGAACTATCGGAAAAGACAACGGGGAACGGGAATTCAGAGCAGCTAAAAGGAAGTCAGTATAGGATAATACAACAACTTCCAATGACACTAAAACCACCTGCTTAATGTTGTGTAGATGTTACTCATGGGACCAAAAGAGCTCTGATGTTTTGGGGGATGGACACAGAACCACTGGGGGTGTCCTTCAATCCCTGCTGTATCTCTTCTGGGTCCAGTTATACATAAATGCCAACAGAACCTTCCACTCTTCTGAGATAATCACTGTAACTCACTTCACTTCCCAGTGGTTTCAGTTTGTAGCAGTTTGTAGCTGGTGGATTCTAGTACTTGCATGTCAACTCTCTTAAAACAGTTATTGGCATATAAAACACACAGAGCAAATAGATCATAAAAAAAAATAAACCGTCCAAATGGCTGTCAAAGTTTGTGAATCTGTAAAATCCTAATGTGAGCTATAAAATAGTTTAATATAGGTAATTTTGGACAGAAACACCACCTAAAGCAATCCACATCTGTCGGAGTGTAAACAGAAATTTTACCATCGGCTCTGTTTGGGAGTCTGTGCCGCGCATCAGTGGCTACATTTTCACCGTGTACAGCATGATTTAAAGATCAAATGGTCCCGCATGGTTCATGTGTCCTATTCCTTCACGGAATATTTGGTAAAGGATTTTTACCTATTTAATGAAACGTCATTTTGCTAAATGAAAGAAAAAACAAGCAGAGATGAGAGCATCTTTTCTCTTTACAGTTTACAACCTCTTCCTGGTTGGCAGGATACAGTCTGCTGTGCCAGCCAGTGGACTACAGTGACAGCCCATTGGCCATGAGGGTAAATGTTTTTCACTAAATTAATTTTGACATGTACACTACTGTGAAAAAACTGTCGAGCCATTTCTTTGGATTTTGTTTCTGAGCAGCCAGACTGTTTTGCAGAGCAATAGCTCTCCAGGCTTTCTGAAGTTCTTTGGACATTGGCTGCTTTTTCACTTATTTTCAGTCCAGTCCTTGTACCTGACCATTTTCAAAAGAAAGTTCTTTTGTTTTTTTAACCCACTTAATGCCAACTGATGAGACAGTGTTTTGTCTACACATAATAGACAATTTAGCAAAGAGCCAATTTTAAATTGGATCCTTTGTTACTGACATCATGTCATAATAGAAGAGGTGGCAGGCCTAAAAAGCTGTCTACATCAGATAAACAGCATTTGACAGTCCTGTCTTTGAGAAATAGGAAACATTATAAGAAAGTATCCTAAGAGAGTTGAGGCTGTGTTTAAGAATAAAGGTGTTCATAAAGTTGGACTTTGCAGCTCATTGGAATTGTACAGAATTGTTTCCATTTATGTTTGCATATTTCAGTAAATCTCTGCATTTCCAATTTTCATAGAGAACTGTAAAGAATGCTCATGGCTCAATATTTTTTACAGAACTGTGTGTATATATATAGTATATATGCATATATATAATATATATATATATATTATATATTTATATATATATTATATTATATATTAATATATATATAGTCATATATATATATAATATTTTGTAAATTGGTTTTTGAACTGCAGTGCACGAAGGTTAATAATATACTTTTTATAATTTTGGACAGATGGCCAGAGTGTGCTGGTGGTTCTACTTCTCCAAAGTTATAGAGCTCTGTGACACTGTGAGTTTCAAGCAAGCTTATACGAGCATGTATTTTCATGGCTGCAAGACGCTTCTGCCTAACTGTCTTTGTGTGATTCTGTGATTCAGATATTTTTTATCCTAAGGAAGAAGAACAGTCAACTGACCTTCCTCCATGTCTACCATCACGCCACAATGATCTTCAACTGGTGGGCTGGGGTTAAATATGTGGCTGGTGGACAGTGTGAGTACAACCCACTAGTCCAGTTTTACAAAATGTTGTGAATAAGAGTCTTTGAGCAGCAAACAGAAATATTCAGGATAATATATGGTTCTCATTCAGAGTGTCTGTCTACAGCTTTCCTGATAGGTCTGATTAACTCCCTCGTCCATATCGTGATGTACATGTATTACGGCCTGGCAGCTGTGGGACCAAGCATGACCAAATACTTGTGGTGGAAACGTTACCTCACCACCCTACAGCTGGTCTGTATGCATCTCATTCACATTCATTTTACAGTGATCATCCTCTAACTTAAAAATGATCTCCTCTTAATTTTTAGCTCCCTTTTATGTTTTTGGATAGTTCATTATGGTTCATTAAGCCGTCAGTCTGTATTTCTATCTGTAGCATAAAGGCAGTCACCTTCCTGATTCTGCTATGTGTACTTTAGGAGCTTGTACAATAACAACAACTACTAAGCCATCAAAGGTGATAATCCTGGAAAAAGCCAGAACTGGCTTTATGGGGAAAAAATATAAAAAGTGGTGGATGTTTGTCAGTTAGAAATATTTTCTTTGTTCTCTCACACTTAAATAAGACCAAAAAGTCCTTATTCTGATAGGCTTAGTCATCACCAATGACGACTTAGATCTCAGAGGCTTAATAATTTGGTTTTGATGAGCTTAACGTGTAGGCTTCCTGATTGGTTTGTCATTGTTCTGACTGACTGCTGGCAAAACGAGACAGATTAGCAGCACTGATGCTCCTCAGCTAACTACTGGACCATCTGTTTTCTACTTATAGTCTAATGAAAAGACAATGCATCCTGTATTTTTTTCTTTCCCTTATGGCTTCAGCTTATATAGGTCAGTATGGTGCCTGACTGCCATTCTGTGACATGAATTGCACTGACCTTCAAAACGACCCCCAAGCCATCATTAACACTTGTCTTTACAATTTAGTTAACTGAAGCTGAGGTAGTTCACTCGTGACTAGCTTTATGAATCCAATGGACACCTTCACATGGTGACTTATTTTCTTTTTTTAATGAGTACTTTTGCCCGTGTTACTCTCTGCTGACAACCCTACTCTGTTTTTATAAAAGAAAAAGAAAAAAACAGTCATATTGCATAGTATCTAAATGATATGTATATGGTTACACAAGAAATATCAACATATGTTACTGAGAAACGATCAAAAAATCACCACATACTGCAAGATAACTAATCTTTACTATTTTTGTTTCCATGTGAGCGTCACTGGGTGTAAGATTAATAATGACATCATCAATATTACATATAATTTCATTCCTTTTTACGAGTAACTAAAGAATAACTTTGGAGTCATTTCCATAGACTGTATGTAAAAGATGGGCTTAAGTAAGCATTCTTTTTAATGGCCAGCAGAGGGCAAACTTCTCTGGTTTCTGTAAAGGTCAGTGGGGAAAATAACTCTTGCTTGTCTTTTCTGGGACAGTTTATGGTCTTAACCACTGATTTCCAGTCACACTGAAGACAACTCAATTTTAACTCAGGTTTTTTTTATATATAAAATATAATATTATATATAAAATTGTAACTTATGGTCCAGTGAGAGAGTAAGCTTGCCCATGTGTCTGGCATGTCACTACCCTATAAGCATGTAGTGCCCCTCTGTTTCACTCCTTTCTTGTCGTTTGAAAACAGCAAGGTAAAAGAGCCCCTTCAAGACAACCATTCACTAATTCATTATTCATTATTCACTAATAACTTGGTAACATCAACATGGCTTTGTCCATTTTCTATATACAAGACTGTGGATATTTCTCCAACCACTCTACACCCAATATACAGAGGAACTTGCTGAAAGTGTTCAAGCCTATATAGCTCATATAGCAAGTATGAAAATTGCCTAACTGTTATCCCCTACTGCTTTCATCTCTTATGTGACCATCCTCTTGTAATTTTCTTGTACTCAGTGCCCTGGAAGTCTACCATCATGCTATTGTTTCTCTTTACAGCTCCAGTTTTTCATAGTGACTATCCATACCAGCTACAATCTGTTTGCTGACTGTGACTTCCCTGACTCTATGAACATCACCGTTTTGGCATATTCTCTCAGCCTCATCATTCTCTTCAGTAACTTCTACTACAGAAGCTACCTCGTCAAAAAGAACAAGAAAACTTAACTCAAACTCAAAACTGTTATGAGAGAGGAAAAAAAGGAAATAAAAAGAAACAAAAATCCATCTCTGTTTGTTTGCTATCCTGATCATTTAATTTTAGCGACTGTTTGGATGGTAATTCTTATTATGTATGAAAAACAGGATATAAACGTACAATATAATGTAACACCAGACAGGTGAAGCATATTTACCCCCATAAAGAGATGTTTGCTTCACAACAGTGCTGGTTACATTCATGTGCAGTGAATAGTCCTATTGTTTCATCTAGCAAGATCCCAAACACACTCAATACATGTTAACTGTGTTTCCTCCCCCAGCTGCTATTAGAAAAATACTTTTAATCTCCATTGGAGGTTTTACACCCACTGGATGGCAGTCCATACAGTTGTTGTCCATACAGAATGGCACTCCATGCTCTCTATATATTTATTCTACTTGTGTTTGCCTCCAAAGTTCCCAGCACATAATCCTCTCTTACCGATGGGGAGACACCACACCCACCACCTACTTATCCACCCCATCTGTCATGATGTAAAAATATAACTGGGCAGACAAGTGAGACAGTTCCATTCTCCAACCTTTGCAGACAGTAATGAAAGGACCATTAAAGGAAGAAATAGATTAGCCAAATATGCAATACCTTATAATAAATTCTCAGACTAGCATATCAGTTTTGACTCTCCTATGTTTAAACTCAATAGAGATGACAATGAACATGAAAAAGTTGCTAAATCAACATTACAAAGGCAACATCTTAGCTTGTTATTAGTGATATAGAATCTCACATTTTTTTGTGTTTTTCAAAGGAATATAACAGAAAAGAAGCAGAAGGGAAACAATTGCTTGCTACAAAGGAGAGTTTTAAAATGCAAAGCTGATCCCCGATCAATATTAAAAATTAGAAATTATTATAGCCACAAAATTGCATTAGGCAGCAATTGATCACAGGCTTTTTAAAAATGATCTAGCCGCAGCTCTAAACACTTTAATGAAAGAACAAATGATGCTTTTAGTTGCACCATCCTTTCTCCACAGGCCTCTGTTATCAGCTTTACATTTTCACAATTAAACGCCTATTTATGTCCAAGTATGGTGCAGTTTCAGTACATATATTACCATCTGATGATGGTATCATTCCTACAAAAACTACCAAAAACTAAGGTGGTGATGCAGACTGTTGATCATAGACTCTTAACTGTACACCAGCAGCATGAATTCAAACTTTTCACTTGGCCCACTGAAACGTTGCTGCAGCATTATGGTAAGTGCTGCAGATAACCCCTTGATCCTTCAAAGAACAACAGGCTTTTCCATCTGATTAAACATGCATGCACACATTTCTAGAAGGATGGGGAGAGGCGGCTCCTTGGCAAGGTCCTGCACCTGTTACATTAATTGTGAATGCATGATTAGATTGCCAAAAGTATTAGTGTAAAGTGCATTAATGTGGAGCATTTTGCTGAACTTCTTATGGTGTATTTCTACGGTTCCTCTGAGAGGCCAAACGGACTGCAACTTAAGAAAACACCAGCAATAAGAAAAACGCTGCCAAAGCACACAAAACACAACGGAAATAGGAAAAATGACAACGGAAATAGGAAAAAACAGATTCCCAAGAGCACAAGGGAAGTGTTTCTGGGGAGACAATAACCCAACGGATCAGTTGCAGGAACCAAAATATGCTAAGAATTGCGCTGGGAGAATTTTAAAAGAAGTGGAGGATCTATCGGTTTTGTGAGGAAAGAAAAGATGGGAGGTACGTGTGTTAGCCTAACTATTAGCCTAAAAATCCGTCATCAGTATTATATGAATCATGATAAAACACACCTAGGTCGTGTCCAAATTCATGGGCTGCATCTTCCTGAGGACCCGGCCTTCGTGGGGTCCTCAGAAGGTCGGGTAGACCGGAAGTAAACGGCTGTGAAATTGGACAGTCTAGCCTTCAGATTTGCGTCAGCGCTGTCTCGGTGGGGTTTAATAAACTCGGCTGTCTGCTCCTTGCTATCTAAAATATAACAGGAAACTGGCGTAAAGTCTCGACCCTCTCACACTTCTGTTTAATCAGTTTTCTGTTTGACGTTTATTCAGCTGTGTGAAAATCCCGGAGGAACCCACCCGATGGATTAATAAAGTTCTATTTAATCTAATAATCTAATAACTTTAATCTCAGCCAAACCGATTTACTCACGAACAAATAAAACACTGAAAAAGCCCAACAATAACATTTTTAGGTTATCTAAGTGACTTATATATTACGTTTAACCCGAGTAGCGAAAGACCGCGGTGATCTGAAAATGATGTGCTGGGAGTTGTGCCGTTCTCGGCGGCTCCAGTGACCCTCGAGCTCCTGGGTAGCTATCGAGCTAGTGGATTCCTATTTCCGTTGTCGTTGTGTTTAGTGTGCTTTTGCAGCATTTTGCTTATTACTGGTGTTTTCTTAAGTTGCAGTCCGTTTGGCCTCTCAGGGCCACTGTATATTTCACTGGAACTGTCAAAAACCTGTGCTTGTGTTCAAAGCAGAGCCCAATAAGTCACGTTCAAATGTCAATAAGTTTACATGAAACTAAAACACTACATAATCGTTTAAGAAATCCTAAATAATCACAGTGGCAATCATTGTGTGCTTCAAAGGTAGGAGCTTTTAAAATGCAGAAATCCTATGGGCCATTGTTTGTGTGATGCACGTGCAATGCATTTGTTCCTACACTGATTGACCGAAGCTGAAAAGAAGACTACAGACAGAAAGCACACATTCAAATTGGGTGGTATTAAAGACACTGGAAAAAAACAAAAACAAAACGTAATTCTCACAATGGCACCAGTACCACCAGTGGTGAAAGTAAGTATGCTGCAAAGGGTAAATAACATTACTGTCCATCCCTACAAGATGCAAACTGAAGCAGGTCGAGAGGATGTTTCACTTGTAAGCTAAGTCTGGCAAGAACCAGTCTCTCCAGCACCTTCATGACCTTTGACATCAAGGTAACTGGTGGGATGGCTTTCTTTGGTACCGGCACTAAACATGATGTCTTCCATAGCACCAGCACCTGTGCTGCCCAGCTGTCTGGCATCCTGCAGCATCTCTTCACCCTGAGTCTGCTGCAGGATGCCAGACAGCTGGGCAACTTCAGCACCCGGGGACTGATGTGACCAGGACCTCCAGACTTTGCCCTGATGTAGTTGCTCCATCTTCTTTGCTAGCTTAAGCGGTGACAAGACAAGTGGCGACTTCCATCACTCGTCTTGCAGTGGTATGCTTTTAATTTAGCCAAGAACATGAAAGTTAAAATAAGTCAGTGGAAAGTTTAGAACTAAGAGCTAATGGCAAATGGCTGTTAATAAATCACTTGCATTTAAACAATAAATTATGGAAAATTGGTTTTGCTACTGTTTGATCAGGAAGAAAATGTGTTTCAAGACATCTGAAGATATAACAGACTAACCTCACCTACTTAAGAGTGTATCACCAAAACTATTCTAATGACAAATGTTTTAAGTTTGTATAACCTTTCAACAGTTGTATGATTTCTAATATCTGACAAGCACAGTACTGAACTGAGTGTGGTTCTCCATTGGCAGTTGGCAGACTATAGTGGACTGCAGAGAGCATCTGTTGCCAGATAGAAACAGCGTCCAAAGTATATATGGTACAACCGTTCTGTGGGCTACGTTTGCTTGTGTTGTCATTGGTCCTTCAGACAACCACAGAAAGAACACACAAAGAACTGAAGTGAAGCCAAGTGTGAAAAACAATGAAAAGTATCCACTGCAGCAACAGTCTGTGCTTTTCATGCTCTTCTGCTGTCACTGCCTTTCTGTTCCGGCCCACTTGTCAAGCAATCAGCATTCAGCCTATGCAGAGGGTCATCCACGTTGAGCTACATGCTGATGTATTTATTGGACGACTGCATAGAAGCACATTTGTGTAGGCTGAAAACCCCTCTCTGTAGGCCCTCTGAAGGCAAATACCTATGTAAAGTGACACAACCACAGTATCATAAAACACGCAGGTTTTGCTTTCTGAACAATCAAACCAATGCTTTAAGAAAAACTAATGAATCTACTGAAAATATAGACTGTGAAACAGAAACTTGATGCTGGAGGTCTGCAATAAGGTTTCATGTGGAAAAAGGTCTCCACGGGAATTTAAAACAACTGGAAAAGGATAGGCAAAATCTGCAGTACCACTAATCAGAGTCACAGCAGTTTTAAAATCACAACACTGGCAGTTCTCTACATGCACAATCTTGCAGATGGACGAGTGCTGCAGACTTGGCACAGGGGTTATCATTGGAAATCAGAGTTTGTCTGAGAGCTCAGATTGTCTGAAGGACATTGCAATATATCAATGATTTGGACGATGTCCAAGAAAAAAAAAACCTGTGGTTGCTCCACAAAACCTGAAGGTTAAACTTTGCAAAATAACATGAAGAGAAGCCTGGTGAATATCAGGAGCACATTCTTGGGTCTTATGACCCAAATGAGAAATCAGGGAAAGAGAAATCCCCATTTCTTCCAGTGGTTAATGTTTTTGTTTCATATATGACTTATGTCTCATACAATCACTTACTCATGGAAGTGGGCCCAGGTCAGAGGGAGCTCAGCATGTTCAGCATGAACCTGACCAAGTCCATAGTGAAAGGGAATAGTCAAGAGCACAGTACCAATGAAAATGGGAAACTGGTGTGTAATGAGGCTTGAGAGCAGAAACTTCTGGGCAAATGACATTCATAACTGTTGCCTGTGGATATACTGGGTGATGAGACGACTCCCAGTAGCAGATGCCTGGAAGAAGGGGAATAGTGAGACATTACAATGAGCCATAGCCAAAGCTACAGAAGAAAAAAGTGAAACTATGACCTGGCCAAGTATATCGCTGATTTGAATCCCATACAACACCTTCAGTGTAATTTAAAGAGAGCAGATATAAAAGGTTTTTGAAGAATTTGCACAATTTCTCTTCCATTCTGACAAAGATCGATTCTATCATTAAATTTGCACATATTAAGTATTGGGAGAAAAAGCATATTTGGATCTCACTATG